CGAGGGGCTGAGAGCTCATGACGCAGGGACGGGACCCCCGTTTGCTGAAGGAGTGACCGCGCCGGGTGTTACACCCACATCCCTGCCCAGCCTCTGTGCCCAGGTCTGGGGTCATCAGGCAACGGGGGATGCCCGTGCACCCTGTGCCGGCGGCTGGGGCGATCCGGCTGCCACACTGCCAAGGCAACGCACTGCTGGCTGGGCTGGCTCAGATCAGAAAAGGGTGTATCAGAAAGGGTTGTTTGAATTACCGTGAAGTGTCTTGGAGCAGCCCTCTCCCCTCCTCGACAGCTCCAGTGCGCTCTCTCCCTTCCTTCCGCAGTCGTCCTGATCGGGGAGTCTGGGGTGGGCAAAACCAACCTGCTCTCCCGCTTCACCCGTAACGAGTTCAACCACGACAGCCGCACCACCATCGGCGTGGAGTTCTCCACCCGCACCATCCTGGTGGGAGACGCTGTGGTGAAGGCTCAGATCTGGGACACGGCCGGGCTGGAGCGGTACCGCGCCATCACCTCTGCGTAAGGATGGGATGCCTGAAATCAGGGCTCCCCTGGTACCTGGGTGGTGATGCCCTCATAACTGAGCCCCACGGGTGAGGATGCTGGGGGGGGTGTCCAGAGCACCTCTGGGTGATGGTGGCGTTCTCCCATAGGTATTACCGGGGAGCTGTGGGTGCCCTGGTCGTCTTTGACATCACCAAGCACCAGACGTACAACGTGGTGGACCGCTGGCTGAAGGAGCTGTACGACCACGCCGAGGCCAGTATCGTCGTCATGCTGGTGGGGAATAAGACCGACCTCGCGCAGGCTCGGGAGGTGCCCATGGAGGAGGCGAAAATGTTTGCAGGTACGGGCTGGCCCCCTGCCGCGGGGCTGGGGGCTTGGGAACCTCCCTGATAGCAGGGACCCGCACCAACGCGGGCACCTGAACATCTCTAAAGGGGCTCCAAAATGGAGCCGTGCCTTCGCCGGGGTCTGCATCATCTCGGGGGACTCCTCTCCTTGCAGACAACAACGGGCTGCTGTTTGTCGAGACCTCAGCGCTGGACTCCACCAACGTCGAGCAGGCGTTCGAGACCATCCTGAAGGGTACATGTACTGGCACCGTGGTGCAGCGGGGTCCCAGGGACTGGGGCATCGCG